TATATATATATACATATATATATATATATACATATATATATATATATATACATACATATATATATATATATATATATATATCAAAAGCATCATGCTGATTGATCAATTTCTTAGCCTCGTTTACTGCGATCCTAAAAACCCTTTAAATTGCTACCATAACCTTATCTGGCTTACTGCGCCAACTGCCAGTAGTCCTAGCAAAATCCGTTTGTGATTGTCCTACCTGAAAGGAATCTTTAAACATCAAGTACAAGGCTGCTACCATCTTCAAATCTTTAGGCTTGATTCTAGACGATTGAATAAAAACCACAAATTCCAATCTAGTCTCAGGGTATTAGAGGGGATTTAAATCCTAATCTATTGCAGTAGCAGAAGCGCTGGTTTCGATACTTCCTCCTCCATTGAGATCTCATTCGCCTTGGTCTTCTACACTCAACCCCATCGCTCCATAAAAACAGTTACTGGTTCACCGCTTACATGCCTGCATAGTGGTTCCATCACTTCCTCCTATACACAGGACATTTTCCACTAACTTTTAACCATAAAACCAAACTTCGATACTTAGGAATTTAGAAAATTATTTCAACTTTATATGGTTAACTGTTAAAACGATTGTTTTAGTAGACTGGGGATCTAAGTCTACAGAGCCACCCTTTTATATGCCCTATCTCACCTACAACTCTTTTGCATTTTCGGTCTAACTTACCCTTACTTCTTAGTAAACTTCTCAATGAAGTCTCGTCCACTTATAAAAACTCACCATAGAGTCTTTTCCAAGCATTAGACACCCGACGGTCGAGCATACATTTTGAAAATATTTAATTTTTTATAGCCATTTGCTACGCCTACTTTTTTTCAGCCGTTCTAGTGCGTTCCTGTACAGATTAAAATTCTTAAAATGCGCGACTGGTCTAGACAGATTATCGTTGGATTTTTAAACCCTAAACCTGTCTCATATATCGTATGATTGTATGCAAGTGATCGTTTTAGTAAAATATGTTGAGTCATGACTGCCCATGTCAAGATTTTACGGCCGAAAGTGCAGAAAGATGGTCGAGGACCTACTGTAATACCCCGCTGTTTACTGGATAACTGTGTGCTAAAGGACAGTGCATGATGCAAACGAAGTTTAAGCAATCCATTAAATTAAAAAATTCATATAAATTACCAGCAATATCACACAAAATAGATAAAAAAAGTGCCGCGTGGTCGGCCACCGCAGTACTGACCACGCGCGCAGCAGTTTGACTTCCGAGATCGGATAGGACCGAGTATTTTTTTAAGCTGTATATGGCCGATATGGCCGTAGGCGAAAGTCAATGTACGGATTCTATATGTATATCGTCTTTTCCGTTTTACGATGGTGATAATTAAGGAGTTATGTAGGTCTACATTGATATAAATAAGTTCTCCAATGAACGTGTGCATGGAGTACCCGGGGCTATGTACAGAACTAACACAATCATGTATAACTTAGTGTAATAGATTGAACATATAAGCTAAGAGTCAACAAAGTAGTGGTAGGATATCATAATAAATATATAATATTTCGTACTATAAAACCGATTTTTAACGCTTAGTTTTGGGCCAGACAGGTCATCTTAATTTGATCGAGTGTCGAAATATCCTTCACTCGCTGTTGGCTGCGCATCGAGTCAGAGAATTGTTGATTTCGAGGTTGTGTTTCTGCCGACCTGTAGATCGCCGACAAAACTTGGCTTGAATATAGGAATACGAAACTATTCGTCACTTGCGATTACAAGATCGTGCAGTAATGTCTCGTTCCCTTTTATACCCAGAACTGTACACAAAAATATTATTAAATGACAATCTGGCTATCGTAGTGCTATTTTCATCTGTAGTTTCGTAGCGACCTTATACCTTCTCTTTCAATTTTGACTTGGTTACTTCAACAATAGTCAATACGCCTAGTTCTAAACTAAGAATCCGAGTCTTATCTCCAAGAAAAAAAAATGATGCATTTCCTTATATCGAACGTTTCGTCTTCATGGCTCGCAAGCGCAAAAAAAGCTCCATATTTAAACGATTCGCCAGGGTCATTATTTCGGTTGATATACTCTATATACGCAGGTCTAACCGAGACGAAGACACGGTGGCCTCTATTTTCATCAGAGTGTTTTTTTTCATATAGTCCTAAAAGATGCATCTTAACCCAAGCAGCCATGAAATCTGTGTATACCTGCTACATCATATCAGCCGATGAGCAAATAATACTCCACTTGATGCTTGGAGTAGAAGCTCGGTCGCACTCTGGCCTGAGAAGTCACGTAAGACTGCGGATAATCCTATCCATGATATGCTGAGAATCCTCTGCAATCAAGAAAGCCACGTAAAGTTGTATGCAAGGTTTAACAGGTGAGTGGTGCATGAGGTGTCAGTTGCAAGGATTCAGCACGAGTGCTGAGACAACTATACTGCGTGGACCAACTTTTCACAGTCACGCTCAGATTGCCAAAATAATATATCACATATTCTTGCATGTACATATATATACTAGACATTTGAAGGCTAGTGTGCCTACTACCTTTCAGGAGTTCAGGGTTGAACCCCTAAACCCTGAAACCCTAAAAAAGAACCATACATAGATAAATTTATATGACCAAAACAACGAATCGGTGCCCACATAGAGTTTTCCGCATGTACGTGCACACATGTACGCACCTTTGGAGTCAGAGCTGGTCACGTGGATGCGCACATCAGCTATAAGCGACGCCACAAACCGCGTGGTGAGGGTGTCCATGGGTAGAATGGGCGGTGACTGTTCCAGCACACAGTGCACATGCGTGGCCGTGCGCAGCGTTTGGTTCATTGTGTGGCCGATTGCTTTCCTCCTACCGGCATCATGAATGTCTGTGTAGGGGGGTCCGGTGATAGTTGTCGATGTCAGAAGTATGGATATCTAGGAGAGGTAGCTCCAATACCAAAGAGACTATCTATCTGCACGGTCGTAGAGCCATGTGTGCATATTTTCATGCGCACTTGATGCTCAACGTCACCGGTGGCGCCATTTTTCTAGTGGTTCAAAGAGTCACAGTGTAGACAGAAAACAGCATCCCCACCCGCATGGGCGTGGTTACAATAGACAAGTAGCGCTCTATTGTTCGCTAATAGAAACTACTACGTTACAAAACTAAAATGGGTCATATTCACATTTTTCATGAACACGCACAAAAATGCTACAAACTAAGTATACACCCCATGTAAAGAGGAAACAGTACAGCCACGTTGTCAACACTCAGTCGATTAGACCGCATGCAATGAAACACAAACAGCATGTAAATAAACAGGATATAATACTCGAACAGGAAAAGTGTTTTTTTTACCTGCACGCCTTCTATTCCAATTTTGAGTAATACAGATAAAATCAGCGGGTGATACAAACATTGGCGAGAACCGGCATTGACAAAACAATTAGAATAAGTATTGTCTATTATATGACTCGTGTGAACACCCTGGGCAATACCCTTATCATAATGCCCTTCTACAGTACGCTCCTTAATTGTTGCATAACATATCACACATGATACAATACCCATCGATAATACCTGATTGCACAATTCGAATGATGTATGTGCCTGCGACGCTCCTAACATCAGGTACGATTGGCCCAGTGACTTTGCATGATGCACCGCGGGCGGTGGTTAGTTGCTGTTGCAGCGAAGAGAGGAATGAAAATTTGCGAGAACAAATTTAGATTCCGCAGTAGATACAACGAGAACAACTGATCGGTTGGACGTGTGTTGTGGATGCTGCTGTGTGCGTGTAGAGGGTGCCCATCGTGGGTGTATGGTGACAGTGTATTGTGTGTCTTTGCGCGTCGTTCGATACAATTCCAACGCTATAACATATCGGAATTCAATGCGTCACAACCAAGGCGAACTGCTATGATAAAACATATCAGAAAGCAAGATTTCAGAGACCTAGTTCAAATAGGAAACTATAGATTAGAGCAACCTCCCGTCATATGAAACACTTATTTCTTCTCTTAGATGCGTGCGTGCGTGTGTACATAAATGTACCTGCTGTTCACGGGATTTGCGCATGCGGGCGAGTGTCGCGTTGTTGACGCTGTCCTTCTTACGCTTTTCTCTGCGCGCTGCCTTGACCCACCACGAGTCATCGTCCACCCCCAGATCAGCCAACTCATCCTACCACTCAGCATATACACATAGCAATCAGATAGCACACATACACATAAAGAAAAGGGCATAGATGTCAGTAATAGCACAAGCACACATCTATCAAAGTGCTGAAATTGATATAAAGTGCGTTCTTGGAAGTGGTTCGATGACAAACGGAACCTCAAATGTCGAAAACATAGGATTTTGAAATTAGGTCGAGTAGAGTAAATTAAATTTCGTACATCTAAGGGAGAGAAGTCGCATAGAACTATTTTATCATTATGAATGAGACTCGGTTTCAATGAGCTTTAGAATTCAAGGTTTAGGGGTTAGTTTCAAGTTCTTGGCACTAGTTTATATTCCTATACTGCAATGGGAGCACACAATGGTTGTATAATGAAGCTGCCCTACAATTCACACGCCACATGCACGAAGTAGGCTTTACGGAACAAAGCACGCTACTTCTAATTTCACAAACTATGATTCAATGACTTCACCTCCAACGAAGTAGACTCATCCATAGCGCTGAGCACAGCCGACGTGTCTGCGTCCTCCTCTGCATCGTCAATGCCCTCAGATTCGTACGCGTCGATGTCGTCGTCACTGGAGAAGAAGCGACTCTTGTGCAGGCGTATGTTGTGCTGTGGTGTGTCTGGCAGAACAGTCTTTGCCACCACTGCGTCGGTGTCAACTCTTCCGTAGCCATGTGCAGCCGCCATTTGGTGTGCGTATGATTCATTCTCATCCTCTTCATGCTGTTTGAGTAACAAGAGATGTTAAGAAACATACCTCCCGTGCAGAGATAAACGCAGGCACCACTTACACGAGTGCGCAGATTCCAAGTTATGGCAGGTCTATATTTGGTGTGGTCATAAAGCCCAAAACCCTAAAATACAGGACAGCAACACACCCCCTCCCCCCCTCCACTCTCATACCCGGCGGGTTCCACCTCAAAAGTTCTTCTACATTAAACTTGAAGAAAAAAAATGACAATGAACGCTTTGGTCAATGGACATCTTCCGCAGGAGAACCAAATCTATGGAACTACAAGCATATGAACAACTAAACCCAAAAACACATGAACCAACTAAACACACAACACATGAACCAACTAAACACACAAGCACATGAACCAACTTAACACACAAACACATGAACCAACTAAACACACGAACACATAAACCAACTAAACCCACAAACTCATGAACCAATTAAACACACAAACACATGAACCAACTAAACACACAGACACATGAACCAACTAAACACACAAACACATGAACCGACTAAACACATAAACACATGAACCAACTAAACACATAAACACATGAACCAACTAAACTTACAAACACATGAACCAACTAAACACACAAACACATGAACCAACTCAACCCACACGCGACATAACAGGAACAAAGTGGTATCTGGTAGTGGTCAACTCACCATATGCTTGTTGAGGTCGCGGTACTGATAGCTTCCTTGCGTCTGCGTGTAAGAGTCGTTGATGAAGCTGCTCTCCAATGCATCATCAGAGTCACTCCCCTGGACAGAAAACAAGAGCGCATTCATATTCAGCGCAAGTGGCGTAGAGCAACGAGGTAAAACACTAAACCCTAAACCCAGCACCAAAAAGACAGTGCATTGGCACATGCAGCACAGGTATAAGTGCGGCCAAAGCGGCTGAGACGCAAAAAATCTCATCTGGAGAACAAAATGACCATGTGCAATAGCACACACTTGCACTGTAAACCCAGCACAACTACGAGCACTAGTCCAGTCACACCTACGAGCACTAGTCCAGTCACAACTACGAGCACTAGTCCAGTCACACCTACGAGCACTAGTCCAGTCACACCTACGAGCACTAGTCCAGTCACAACTACGAGCACTAGTCCAGTCACACCTACGAGCACTAGTCCAGTCACACCTACGAGCACTAGTCCAGTCACAACTACGAGCACTAGTCCAGTCACACCTACGAGCACTAGTCCAGTCACACCTACGAGCACTAGTCCAGTCACAACCACGCGCACTAGTCCAGTCACACCTGCGAGCACTAGTCCAGTCACAACTACGAGCACTAGTCCAGTCACACTTACGAGCACTAGTCCAGTCACACGCACATACGCTGCTGTCATCTGATGAGTCTATGTTGCGGCGGCCACCGCGTCCATCTGATTCGGAGGCGAACTCATCAAACAGCAGATCGTTGACCTTTTTCTGTGGCACAGTTTGTAGCATGGCGTAGAGAAGTGCATTTGCATTCAGGGATCAGGTAAAGATAACCGATGCTGAGTTTAGGGTTTAGGACACTAACACAGATCGCATACGGCTAACTGATGGTATCTAGACACATTATATATTTGGATATACAACCCAACATACTAAGTAATTGCAAAAGAAGGGCTATGTATCACTTTAACAAGTCAAGTCCATATATGTGCAATATTGTGCACCAGTATTTTGAAATGGACTGGTTCAGGAAGCTGAGGATATAAGAAGCACAGTAAGGGTTTTTGGGTTTGGGGTTTTTAGATTGATATCCATATGTATAGACCACAAAACAAAATAACTAAAATTAATCGTATTCTACGCAGCAATGGATCGCTTGGAGCTCAATTCATTGCAGTCCGATCTGACATCAAGAACAAAGTTAGTACGAGACAACAGGCGACTCAAAAAACCACACCATCGAGAAATATTGGCACACATGTTTCGTTTATTAAATAGGTAATTTTCTCAATGTAATAAAGTTTGGCGCACATCCGCAATTAATAAAAATTCAAAAGAACCCGAAAACCCCAATATTGATATGTACATGTTGACTTGTATAGAACAAATACTGGCACGGTGCAACTGTCTCGGCATTGCAGGTTCATTCTGATTATTAGCACTTTGAACAACACTGGTTCATCATCTGCGCACACGCAACTGTGTCAATTCACATTTCATTATCGAGTGTACTGGTTTTCACCACACAGTGACCAGACAAATGCAACGAAACACGGCGTAAATACGGCGGCATACCCATTTCCTCTCTCTCCGCCTTTGATTCTTCTTATTCTCTTCCACCAGCGCTTTCTGCGCCGGATCCACATAAAATGGGACATTGTATTGCACCAGAGAATTCGGACCTTTCGGTATAGTTTCGATGGACAGCGCTTGAGTGTAACTGAACGTGCGCGAAATGAAAACGGACACACGTGAGACTTCAAAGGAAAGAGAAAACGAACATACGTGAGATTTCGTAGGCATTCCTGAGACTGCTGACTGAAACGTTAGGCATCTGGGCGTATTTGACCGACATTGAACTACCGATGCACGCACAGGGATAGAGATGCTGTAGTCGAGCACAAACATACTGTAATCAAGATAGTTTCGAAAGATAACGAGTTTTGCACGGACCAACCTAAGCGCAATGGGTCCGTACATCATTAAAACCCCAATGGCCCAACATACTTGGCAGGTGCTGCACCTCGTTTGAGCTTAAGAGCCTTTTTGCGAGGCCTCTGGCTCTGTGACTGCCTTCGCATTCGGTCGCCATCGGTTGATGGTCTGTCGTCCGCATGACACTTGACACGCGTGTCAGCTGCCTCAGCGTCACCACTGCCTATGGATGCATTCGTTGGGTTTTCCATACAACTGTCGTCGTCGGCGATTACGCGTCTGTAGCCCACACGCCGTTTGTGCCTTTGCGGAAGCTCGGACGACTGTGACGACAAGACGAACCTAACACGACTGCACAAAGGGGTTTGGGTTTTAGGGTTTTAGGTTTAGTTACTAAAACCACAAACGCAGACAAAAGGTAAAAGGCAAAAGGAGTACAAATCAACACCAAAGGTCAACCTACGGCACAGTCAACATGTGGTGTACTCTTCTTCGCAAACGACGAACATACGGCACACATGACTTGCCAACGGATGTAAAGGTATCAATCCACAATCGGTGATGAAGCACTAGAATGTCGGTGTGACCAGATGAGACCGTACGACACAATACGTACGATGCGACACAAGCAATCGATGTAACACAATAACAAACCATGCTGTAGGGAAGCTCAACGGTACAAGTACAGGTATGCTGAGGTGCATCTGCGCAATACCACAGCTTGTACCGACCTTTGGCTGGGTGTGGAGATGGGTGCCCCATGCGCCTGTCCGCTTTCACCGCCACTTGGCGCATTGGCCGTATGGCCGAGTCTGCGATTGTCCGCAGAGCCGTGCGCACCCGTTGTGTGTGTTGGTGGGTGTGGGTGTGGGTGTGCATATGTGTGGGTGTGGATACTAGTGTCCAAATCAATAGCACAAGTGGGGCTTTCAATCGCAGATACCACACCCGCTTCGCCGTGTTGGTGGGTGTGTGTTTGGGTGCGAGGGGTTTTGTTGGGGGTTGGTGTGAATTGTATGACCTGTGGGCCTGTGCGAGGTTTGCGTCTGGCTACAATCGGCGATGGACTGGCAAACCCCGAGGTATTCAGAGAAGAAAGAGAAGTGCTGGGCGCTCGCTTTGCCGCTGTGTGTGAGGTATTGGGTTTAAAAGTTTTTAGTTCGGCTTGAAGACTGTGCCTGGGCTGCAACAGACACCTATGTACTTAAGGAGTAGCAGGTGAACACACCAGCACTCGAGAGAAGCGTTCATAGTCCAGAAAATACACTAAACACTAATACCCTAAACACTCTACCCCCCAAATGTGAGATATCCGTGAGTGGCAGTAGCATGGCACAGACACATATACGCATACACATACAAACTCAATGGAGGCACGAGCGTCTTGCAGCAACGGAGTTCTACAGATGCCATGGATGGGCCATGTACACTCACACAGGCCAATGGCGTGCGACAAGCTGCTACAACTACACAGCGTGACCAGTGTACGTTTAGGGTCATTGATATGAGGGTTAAAGGTGTGAGGGTTAACGGTGTGAGGGTTAACGGTGTGCGGGTTCAATGATGCTAATACATACCAAACACAGAAAGTCAGTGACCAAAACTACAACAGCGAAAAAACACCAAAAAATCATCAACCCATAAAGACGTGTGCACTAAAGATGCATTCAAGACAAGCACACACACACACAACTATACTCAAAGGCAATGAAATGCACCAAGCACTTCTATGTGACATAGATGTCATCTTCGTCGTAGTCGACCAATTATTCATACCGGGCTGTGAGTATTCCGTGGTGGTGGGTTGTGTGCGTGTGCGTGTGTTGCGGTCACTTGGTTGTCCTGTGTTGTGCGAGTGGTTGGTTGTCTGCCTGTGGCGTTGAGGTGCAAGTGCCCGTTGGGTGGGTGGTTGGTGGGGTGGTGCAGTTGTTGTATGTGGGTGTGGTGTGTTTGTGTCCGTCACATGTGTCATAGTGTGTGTGCTGTTGCTGCCTGCTCCAGCCATGAGCCCATCAGCTACGCAGCCTCTGTCACATGTCGTGAGATCAACAATGACATCTCCCACACTGCGGCCAATTGACTGTGGAGGTCCATCGCTGTCCCCCCCATCGACATCTATGGCATTTGCTTTCGCCTGCTGTGCTATTAATGGCAGCTGCTGCCTGTCTGTGCGTGTGTTCGTCCGTGTTTCTGTGTATGTTTGTGTCGTCTCTGCTTGTGGATGTGTGTGTAGTGCGGCTGCCTTAGTGTCGGCTGTGCGCATCAGGCTCTCTATCTCGTCGTCGTACAGAAACACACTCATATCTGTGTCTGAATTGCCACCGTAACCGAGGGCTGCACTGGCGAGTGTAGCATTTGCGGCGCTGCTGTTGCTGGCAGTGATCTGCTGCGCAGTGCTTGACGCCCTGTGGTTGGTGGTGGTGGTGGTGGTGACTGCTGCATTCGCCTGTCCATCCACTGACACTTCTGTGGTCATTCGATCGGTGGCTGATGCTGTTGTTGCCGTGTCGTGTGCTGCTTGCCTTGTGTGTGTGTGCTGTGTGTCTGTGGTTGAGTCGTGTGGCTCCCCGTGATTGCCTTGACTGTTATCCATGGGCGTGTGTGGCTTGCGCATGTGTGAGGGTGTGCGTGCAGAACTGTAATACAGATCATTGCCATATGCATTGAAAGGGCTGTATCCCTTTCTCGCTGTGCCGTGTGCGCGTGTGCGTGGTGTGGTGCGTCTTCCACTGAGATGTTGTGAGCGCATGTCTCGCTCGTTTCGTCCCATCCCATGGGCGTCGTTCATCAAACTCTCCCAATCTGCATCGTCGATTTCACTGTCCCAATGGAAACTCTCGTTCACATCTGTAACCATAGCAACGCGTGCATGAGCCCCATTGGGTTGCTGTGAAGGCGTGCCATTGGGCTGTTGCATGGCAGTGCCCTTGTGTTGTGGTATGTGTGCGTTGATGGGTTTTAAAGGTTTGGGATGCGTGCCTCTATTAGTAGCCACATGGTGACTAATGAAATGCTTGTTCGCAGGTTGTCGTGAGTGTGTGTTGCGCGTGAGTGTGTTGCTATTGCTAGTCTGACTAATTTTAGTATGCAATTCAAGACAGTCACCCTGCACGATCAATTCCTCGTCGCTGCCATCACCGTAGCCATCGGAAGTGTTTAGATGCCCGTGGTGTGCACCTGCACTCTTGCGGCAGTCTGTGTCCGTTGCAGCCGATGTCTCTGTCGGGTCACTGTGTTGCGAGCTATTTGCAGCCGATGTCTTTGGGTGGTCACTGTGGTGTGTGGGGTATGTCATGTCGTTGGATAGGCCCATCGCCACTTCAGCCATAGCCAGCGCATCGGCACACGCCTCGTCATCACTGACACCAATGCCATCACTAAAGCAGTCCATGTCACCCCTATCATGGTCGAATCCCCTCCCAATCCTGTCTGAGATATCTGTGCAGTACAACGAAAGGGCAAGACAACATGAGCACAGCAGAATGGCACGTCACTACAAACGGAACTCAGTCCAACAGCGCACGGCACAGGACAAAATGCACCCAAGTGCACCACACAGGTGCAGTGGTGCACATTTTTAGGTTTCTGTTGTCCTTAATTCAGTCCCTTTGTTGGGAGTTTATGTTGAGAGCGTACTATTGCACAGCTTCTCCCTTTAGTTCTGACAAAGCGAATCACGTGTGTGTGAAGCCGGAAAGCACTTCTACATCTGCAGCGCATTGAATCAGGCTCACGACATGCGACAATCGAAATCATTCAAATGCCAACTGAAGTCACACGTCACTGTTGATGAGAATGCAAACCATGCCTAATGCGCAGGTGCACACACTGACAGTGATCAGGAGCACTACGGTATGTGACCTTCAGCCAAAAGCTGTCGCTGTGGCCAATATGACTCACGCGGACAGCCACACCGAGGCTATACAAATAAGAAATCAAACAGCTCACACAACAACACATGGCGCACCCCCACTCAACTGATGACTACGGTTTGAATCAGTAGATGCAGCGTAGACACTTGTGGGATGAATGGATTTGGCCTATGGTACACAAAATCACAGCCTGGCCATGGCATAGAAGATTTCTTGTAGCACTGCTTGCTTATCACAACGGATGCAGCCAAAAACAAGTAACAGGAAACCGATGCAGCCAAGTATAGATACATCTTACGGATCAGAAACCCGATGTAACCAAGTAAAGATACACTCGGTTGGATGGTGGTTGCAATGTACCATGAACATGCACACAATGCCAACACACCCTCACTGTGATCAGACGAGTGGCCGTCGCTGACTAGACGCGCATCAGCATAGCAATCGGCTCGTCCCAGCGTAGCCAGCAACTGTGCACGCGGGGCTGTGCGGTCAACGGCTACATTGATTCCTGCTGATCATAGGGCAGACAATAAGCTGACGGATCAAAAGGCTAGAAAGCACCGCCATGCGCACACAGATACAACCAGGCCGAATGAATATAAATCGTACCAAACACACAAATATTACAAAGTGGTCACATGAATTCAAATCAATACCATACACAGATACAAAGAGGACCATTGAATTCAAAGCACTACAATGCATACGCAGACACAAAGAAATCGGATCAATTACATAGACCAGAGGAGTTGCACAACTGTTTCTGGGACAGCCCACACCATAGGGGTTAGGGGTTAGGGTTTAGGGTTTAGACCTCTGATACCAAATATCTGAACACCCATCCACGCACCCACTGGAAAACGACTAACACAATGCCCATAGTCCCAGTTAAAACTCTGAAAATGGTTTTGGAGTTTAAGATTAAACCCAGCAACCGCTAAAAGGGTTCAGGGTTTAGAGTTTTTAGGGTTTAAGGTTTTTTCTTCAAATTACTACCAACCATACCCGCACTATAACAGAACAAGCAGATACTATAGTACCACACAAGCGACAGCACGCCATTACAAATCACACACACCGCAACCTACAGACTACGCCCACAAACAACGCATGACAACCATACGTCATCATACACGCTCATCACTCACTCGACATGACATACGCACAAACAACTGCAGCTGTACACAGGCCCACACAACAAACACACGCTGCACCACATGGGCGTGGAGGGTTGCTCACCGTTGGCGCGTTCGGCCAGTCCCATGCTGTCCTCTGCTAGGTCGCACATGGCGTTGAGCTCATCATCGTCCCAGTCACTGCCATCGTCACGCGCGTCTGTGAGCGCGTGGCCATCGACTGCCACGGCACCTGAAGTCACCTGCTGTCGCCCAATGGAATCCTTGTCAGCGCTCCCGCGGGCGATAGCACTGTCGTTGTGAAGCGTTTGATTGGTCTCTTTTGTTTTCGAATTAAACTCAAAATCAAAATCTGATGTGCCGTGGCTGTCGTCGGTATTCCATGCACAGTGGTCTGTTGCATGCGCTGTGACGGCCCCTTTGCCATTGCCATTACCATTGTGTGCAGTTGCTGTGGCGCTGTCCTTACTGCCACGGCTACGTCTCTCTGAGCTTAGACCCATGGTACCATGGTCGCCACCATCAGTAGCTGCCCCAGTGATACTGGTGACTTTATGTGTTCGTTTCGCGACCGATTGTGACGCGTTGCCTAGAAACCTATCGTGTGTACCTGTTGGTGTGGCTTCTCTATTGCTATGTGTATTGCTATGTGTGTTGCTATGTGTGTTGCTATGTGTGTTGCTATGTGTGTTGCTATGTATGTTGCTATGTGCGTTGCTATGTGTGTTGTTATGTGCCGATGTAGTCTCCTCGCGGTGCATGTCTGTGCCGTGGGCCGTATCCTGCAGACGGCTGCCATGGTCATGTATGCGTGTGGGGGTGTGAACGTGTGCAATACGCTCTGGTTCATGATCAACCTCAGGGGTGCACACGGGGTGACCTGGTGCGCAGTCGTCCACAGTCGATGGCTGCGTAGGAACGCCCGAGACAATCAATCCCAGTCAGACATGTTGATATATGAACCAGTGCACAGAGATGACGACATATATTTTGAAATAACGTTGGAATGTGTGATTGTGAAGGTATCTGTATACAACAAATGATTGACAGAGTTGTTTTTATACAGCGATTGGCAAACGATGGGTATCCGATGTTTTCGAATACCATGACAAATCATTTTCACCAATATTCGAACAGAGTGCTACTCTGAATGGAAGAACCTAAATCCCCATACGCCACAACTTCAAACAATAGGCTGCTATACAAGCAAATACAATCCTAAACCCCTATACAAGCAAAATAAAACCCTAAAACCCTATACAAGCAAATATCCAGGGAATATTACAAGTATCAAAAAGAAGCATTTAATCTGCACCAGCACAGAGCACTCAAACCATGACTCAAACAGCGCTAGTCATTGACGTGTGCACAACAGGCGAGCTACTTAAGGCGACTGTGTGGGGATGTACATGCCCCATGCACACACCTTAGCTCTCACGATGGCATGCATGTCTGTCTGAGGTGAGTCATCGGTTGCTGCGTAGTTGCAATGAGTCTCTGTGATTTCGTCGTCGTGGCCGTTGACCAGCGCAGTCGTATCTTGTGTGCGCCATGCGGAAAAGATATCACATTGCTGTGGTCACACACACCATCCACGTGATCAGCCGATAAGATAGGACAAGCACGATGAGTTTTAGAGTTTAGGGTTTCAAATCGGGGTAGCATATTTACGATAGAATCACACCCACGGTAAACCCAGGGGGGGGGGGGGTTGGTGAGTGTGGGGATGGCTTTGGAGAACATGAGATGTTAGGTCTTGGTTGGGCTGCTTTGCGATCAACAGACTGCGAGTGCGTATCGCAGATCAGATGATTTGAACACGCATCAGATATGTATGACAACAGTTGTGATGAGGCGTGTAGTCGTTGTATTCACGATAGGGCACCCCAACAAAGAGTTTTAGGGTTTAGGATTTATGCCAGCGCAGTAGACATGCGCATTGATGATACGATTCCATCAGGTCAGTAAATACGAACCCATCAGGTCACGAAATACGAACCCATCAGGTCAGTCATCAGATGAATATATAAATATATATGAATAAAATATAAATACGCAGAAAGGTACCGAACATTAGACTGATCTACAGGCGAGGCAGAGCACGCACCACAGTGACTCAACCCAAACACTGGGCAACACGGTCAAAGTCGAGTGCATGGAGCCTTTTTATTTTGCTGTGAGAAAATGTTTCTATAAACTAGTGTACCTGCCCAAATGAGCCAATTCCACCAATGTCGAGTTCGTAACTTTTTTAACGGAACATGCAAAACACAGCAGTACACCATATGACTGTGCATACGCATCAAAACGAAAGAAACGTTACCTTGTGGGAATGGAACGTATTAACATGCAACACACAACAGTACACCATATGACTGTGCATACGCATAAAACGAATGAAACGTTACCTTGGGGGAATGGAACGTATTTGGAGAGGCTGCATGCGCTTCCTTACTGCTGATGTTTTGATAGTGTTTGTTCGTGTACGTTGCATGCACGGAGTGTGGCTGTGCAGTTAGAGCTACAGGGCTGCCGATGGGACTAAGTGTATGAGGGCGAGTGGTCAATAGCGTAGGGTAAGGTTAGCGTCATGCATGTGCAGTTTACTTCCTTAGGTTGTAGATTGTTAGAGCTTCTATCGGGACCAAAAAAGAATAAGCTACGTGCACATGTCAACGATTCAGCTGATGCAGACGAATAGGTGTTGCAGTGAATAGACTAGCACATGCGACAGGTTGCAACACACTACACTGCAGTACCCATGCACCGTACCTCTTGTGGATCGTAGACCGGTGTGGGTGCACCATCTCATCATCAGGAGAGAGATCGTCATCGCTGATGGAGATAGCACTCACTCTGCAAGTCATACGAATAAACAACAAGCCAATGAATAAGAAACGAGTAAGGAAATGCCAGGGACAAAACTAATAAGAAATGCAAAAATGGAAATGTTAAAGGTAAAACAAATGCAAATGGTAAAATAAAGAAATGCCAAAGGTAAAACAAATAGGGAAATGAATATGGAAATGCCACAGGTAAAACACAAAGGAAAATGCCAAGGGTAAAACTAATCGTATTGAACCCTCGGACAATCTGCTGCAGCCCAATGGCCACTGCCGAAATCATTTTTCTGATCAGTTAGTGTCAAAAGAGATCACATATGCACATGACTATGCGGTGCAAGATTGCAAACACACAGGCAAGCTAGACAACTGGCCAATCATGAGAACATGAAGTACGTGAGCATGCATTTCTCTAAGTGCAATGGCTGGTGTTGACCGTAAAGTCATACTTGCGTGCCAGTGGGCCGGGCCATCTGTCCAGTGACTCCGTTTGCGTGAGCCCATTGTCGTCGGAGTCTTCCGTGTGGTGTGCGTTGGTGGTATGTGTTGTAGCGTGTGTTGTGGTGTATGTTGTAACGTGTGCTGTGGTGTGGTGGATGTCTGGTGATCCCATAGTGTGTGTTGTGGTGCCATGTGCTGGGGCTTTGCTGTGTTTGGCATGTGCTCGGGATGGATCAGGTGCTGTATTCCTGTACAGTCATCGGGATGAAACAGAAGACAATTACTATTCTGCTATGGGCAACAGAACGAAGAACAGACAGCGATACACTCTGACGGGCACTGCTATGAAAGTTATTGCTACGACAGACACTGCTATGACAGTCACTGCTATGGCAGTCACTTCTATGACAGACACTGCTATGACAGGCGTGTGTGTGTGTGTCTAAGTTGATGGTTTGTCCACACAATGTGAGTGCATCGTATGCGCAGGTGTGTGTGCTGTGTGTATTGTGATCCATCTATTCTACGACACACCAGTTAGCCCATTGGTATGCACACGTGCCCATGTGTGTTCTGTGGGTCTGTCTGTGTATGTCTTACCTGTGTGTTCTGAATGAGATGAGGTCGTCGTCGTCGTCGCTGACCTCATAGTTGTTGCCCATGGTACCTACTTGCTGTGCCTCTCTTAATGCGCTGAACATGGCCTCGTCCAGGGCTGCCAGCTTTCCCTTCTTACACATTGGTCCTTCCACTGTGTTGGCGCGTGATCTCTTGCTTACCGTTGGTCGAACGCTCCGGACAGATTGCTTTTGTTTGTTTCCCATTGGCTGTCGATGCTTGCCAGGTGCGTGACTAGCGTTTCCGTCATCGGTGATAAAATATTCTATTTCGTCTTCGGATGCGGCGCCTGTTCGTGTAGCAAAAAGCGCAATCTGAATATACTTTGATTGCGGCCAACTAGGCGTGAGCGAAGTGGTATACAGATAATAGGAGCACAGATGAGCTGACACATGGATATACATGTATATATCACAATATATATATATATATATATATATATTTATATATGTATATTTATATATATATGTGTGTGTGTGTGTTTGTATATACATATATATATATACCTCAAAACATATATGACAGTACAGTAACATTGAGAAAAAAAAATTACATTTGGAAATCTAAAATGTATGAAATAGTTATCGGCATTCGTTCTCCCACAATCGGCGAAATGCGACGGGGTTCATACCAACGTGCACTCACATAAACAAATAATTTGTCAATCCACACACCATACATCGTCAAATCATCCATTTTTATAGTCCCACAGACTATAACGAATACTAAAATTGTAGTAGTTTGTTAGGTATGATGTGATCAGTTTGTTAGGTATGATTTACTGTCGTAGTTTATTGGATATGATGTACTGTAGTAGTTTGTTAGGCATGATGTACTGTGGTAGTTTGTTAGGTATGATTTGCTGTAGTAGTTTATTAGGTATGATGTACTGTAGTAGTTTGTTAGGCATGTTGTACTGTAGTAGTTTGTTAGGTATGATTTACTGTAGTAGTTTATTAGGTATAACTCACCTACATGACTGACTATTGACCTCTAAAATCCCCATGACCAAGGCTAAGGGTCGATTGACATTGAGAGGACACCAATCAATGCGTGGTGCTACTTCTGAACCATTCCATGTTTGCCATTCAATATAAAGTCATCAGGTATAAAAAGAAACCACTACACGCAACACACAACTCACAACACAACGAGTAACAGCTTCACAACACACAACACACTACACACAATACACAACACAGAAAACAGAACACAGAACACAGAACACACAACACACAACACACAACACACTACACACAACACACAACACAGCGAGTATCAGCCACACGACACAACAGACACGCAGCCACAGGGCATACACACAACACACAACACACAAT